GGACTGTTTATTCGTGGACCTAATGTTTCGTGCCTTGTGGCACTCGTCAGCAAGGCGTATCTGCAGCGTCGACGGAACTGATGTCTCGCCTGAGATTCGAACATGCGTCAACCAGTGTTGTGGTCAGCGACTTTACCACTGAGCTATTCGGGCCGCCACCTATTATCACCGATGATCTTCCTGATTGTGGTTGACTGGACTGGATGATGCAGTAAACCGTGGTGAGCAAGAACATGGGCATTCGCTGTTTGACCGATGCAAAGACCCCAGAAGAAGATTTGGATTTCGCTCCCGATGATGACTTATGACTATTGACTTGTGTCTCACAAGCTGAAAGATCTACAGACATGAACCAGCAAGTTGACAGAAGAGGCAGGACAGCGAAGATGGGACTTCCTTCATATGAACGTGGGAAAGACAGGTGGTGAAGATACCCAACCACCACCACCACCACCACAACAACAACAACAAGAACAAGAAGCACCAATGACTATCAGCGGGAGAAATCTGAAGGAAGTAGTCTCTTTCACCTAAATACCTAGGCAGTGTCGTTTCAACTACAAGCGGCGACACAGGCACCGATGAGGATGTTAAAGCCTCGATCGGAAAAACGGCATGATAGGTCTTCATTAATCTGAAATCAATGTGGAGATCTACTGCACTGCACTGCACTGCACTCAGCATAAAGCGTAAACAAGATGCAGATTTTCAACACCAATGTCAAGTCAGTGCTGCTATATGATTGAGAAACTTGGTGCGTCATGAAAAGCGATTCCAACAAACTACAGACATTGATCAACAGCTGCCGCCTACGCCAACTCGATACCGAAGACCAGATGGATTGCCAGAATAATAAGAATAAGCAACAAGGAACTCTGGCTGGTTGGCAACGAACCAACCAAGAAGCTATCGCTGAACAAATATTCAGAGGAAAGTGGAGTTGGATTGTGTATACACTGAGAAGACCGATTGTGGACATCACGGGCCAGACCAGACCGTCGAGTGGAATTCAAAGGGGAAACGACGAGTCGGGCGTCCGAGGCGAAGGTGAGATGGAGGAGATGGTGTGAGGAAGAAATGAAAGCTTGTGGGCAGTCGTGGAGTCAGGTTAAAGAGAGTGCAGAGAGCGGAGTGGAATGGCGACGTGCTACTGAATCCCTGTGTTCCAGTGGGAACCTAAGGGAAAAATAATATAAGAATAATGGTTTCTAATTTGTTAATGGTCCTTTTCAAATGGTCTCAAGTCAAAGGCGTCTAAATGTCATACTGTACTTTTAGCCTCAGGCGTAAACAAAACTGGTGTTAGCTGCTTAAGTCCCATAACTCCTGCTGTATTGATGGTATTTCTTCAGAAAGTAAATTAAGTGATAACTGTTGGATTCAGTTTTACTTGTAATCTTTGTTGGAAGTTTCATACCTTGTTGACTTGTAAAAACATTTTCGTCTAAAGCATTAGATAAAGAAACTAAGGCATTCTGGTATAACTCAACTGCTACTTTTACAATTTATCAATTTCTGCAATTTACCTATTCTTTTCTATTTTTCCCCATTGATCTTTCGTAGTTTTCTAAAAAAGGACTTTGTTACACTACGTAGGGCTTTGAAAGCCATCAGTAGGGTAAGTGCTGTGCCTCGGGCCCAACTGATTAACACTGTAGTTGATAGACATTTAAATGCTAGCAAGCAACTAGCTATAGTAATTTTAATTGACAGTGAGCATAAACTTCATTCGCAATTCTCTCATTGTATCTCATCAGGGAGGAAAAAACAAATTGCGTAAGACTGTATGCTCGTACAAAAATTAGACTGCACCTAGCGCGCATATTATGTGAGGAAAAAAGTGTTGAAACAAAACTCATATATCAACTTAGCACAGTTAGTAATCTCATTCCAATAATTTAATTAACGATGTTAAATTTTCTCATTTTTAATATTCTTTACATTACTTAAATGTTTATAATAACATACTTCCCAAATAGGACGAAACGCACGTCCTGGATTCTTCTGCTAGCCACAACCAACCAATTTGTCATACTTCGAAATTTTATAAAGGAGCATATACAAGCATATTTTCTTATTATTGTAATGTATCATGCTAAGAATTCCAAACTGAACCAAAAATTGTTTGGAACAAAATGAATATTATTATTACTACTGTTATTATTATTATTATGATTATGATTATTATTAGGTACTTTGATGCCATCTCTAAGTGTTAACGGAAGGAACATCCTAAATATGTCACATCCTCTTTCAGTTATTCAGATGTGTGGTAAAATGAAACTCAAACAGAATTCTGACAACAACATTTGTTGAAATAAATAGTTTTTTTCAAAACCAGTAACCAAGGCGACCTCCATAGGAGACTTGACTAAGATCGGCATTTATTCATTTTGATAGTCGCCCACGCCGTCACAAACTCACCAATCTCCAAGTATTTCTTGTTTCCTTAGAGCTATATTTTTCATCTGCAATTATTCATAATACTTCAAACAAGACAAACCACAAATAAATCAGAATTCATCGATTCTTTATAGACTTATCCAACTTATCTGTAAGATTCAACTTCAAAACTAAACCTATACTACAGTATTAGTGAAGCACTAGTTATACCTAGATGGTTGTGTTCAGAAATGTAAAGTTCAAACTACAAGTCAGTTAAAATACAGTTTATTAAAGTACACCTAATGACAGTCATTACTGTAGTGATGACTGAGTTCTTGGTTGAAAAAAACTTAACTATTCAACATGTTAATATCAGATTTATTTTTAGGTGAACTATCGAACTTGTGATTTTCATAAGACCATTGGAGTTATTTATTCAATCATCTGTTTTCAGCAGCCAGCTGTCATTTGGTTTTTAGCTGCCTTATTCTACTTCATCCGCCACTCTATCTGACAACAATTCAGGAACATCGCTAATCGTTAATCTTCCAGACCGTGAAGTGTTTCGACCGAAAGTTATATTGGACATGCTAAAATGAGGCGAAAATCTCATGACCCTTATTACAGGTTTGTTACATATTTCACTTAACTGTAATTTTAATACCATTTAACCTTTAGCTTCATTTTTATCTTGAGTATATTATCTGATTATATGCCTTTGTTTGATAAATTGATTTCAAGTAGTTCATTTTATGAGACTATTTTTCATACATACTACATATGTCTTCATTACGTAAAGTCCTTATTTTTATTCGTATCAGAATAGCTATCCTAGTCATATGTGCGTTGTAGTGCACAAACAGTTCCCTTTGAAAATCACTTTAGTTAAGTTCATATCTGGAAGTTATTTTCAGATGAGCTGAGTGGTGAGAAGTTGGATAACAGATGTTCCTCAGTCAGTGGTAGGCGCTCAATATCTGGTTACTTTCACTAGATCGTAGATTCAACAGAGGACTGATTAGATAATTTAAAGAAATTAAACAGGCTTATTCTAGTGTTTGTTAACAGTCCAGCGATATGCCATTCACCTTAACTATTATCAGTTTATTTACCCGGAATAAGTTTGAATTATTCTTTAAACCCACCAATGAAAGCAAATATGATTTACTTCATGTATCAAACGACCTGATGACTTGAGTAGCTCCTAAAGAATATCTTGTCAAAGCAATCTGATTTACAAAAGTAGAATAAACTTCATATCCCTAGATGGTTATTCTGTCTTGATTCATGACTGATTATTTTTACATGTCGTCAGTATTTCATGTTACCGAAGCTGGGATACTCACATTCGGTTTCTAGCATACCGCCATCGTATCATCAAAAAAACATGAAACAGTTGGGAATCTCATTTTTAGTAGCATTCCGTTGTGACAAGAGAGTCCCCAAATTTCGTATGCAGGCGTTAGGTACTTGGAATGATATCGATTCACCATGGAAGCTTATACTGGACTCAACACTTAGTCATTATGCTGCAAATATTGTGGTGATGTGGCTGTAAACCACGTTGAGTTGAAATAAATAAACACCTTAGATATAGTGGAAGAAAGTAGCGAATTTTGAATTCGGAGTCATCAAAATTTGTCTCATTGTCCACAAATGTATACTGACAGATTTGAGCGGAAACATTCGAGAGTACTACTCACTTCACAATCGGAAATCGTCTAGACTAAGTACAGAAACCATCCTATATTTTGTATGTATTCTTCTTGGTTCGTTAACTCTTATCTCATGATACACATCTTTGATTATTTTTAGGATCAGGTTATACGCCTGTGGACTAACAGAACATAAAGTCTGGTAGCTTTATTGATTTATTCCCTCTTCTTGTCCGAATGTGATCTTCTACATCTTCTGAATACACTTTTTTCCACTTTCTCTCTCTCTTGTCTGGCTTCCTCGTATCTTGACGTGTTGATGTAAGATGTGGCAACCTGAACCGTTAAAGAGTGATACTAGGTTTCATGTTACTTTTGGATAACTAACTAAATTTTCCTCTTCTATTGATCTCTATGCCAAGTAATCTTATGCCGTTTTTGTTTCAAGAAAACCCAGTAGAAAGCGGTAAAATAATGCATATCCACACGTATATATACCAGTAAGACCTCGAGATTACTGTTTCAACTTAAATAACGCATAATAGTAGACAGTATAAAAGAATACCAAAGGATTTTTTCTATTTTTTGTGTTAGAAAAATTCATCTAAAACTAAGAGAACAGGTTATATATAGTAAGGCTTAGACACAATGGGTAGACATGATACAAGCAACTGGTAGATGCTGTTAAACATTTTGTGGCAAATATGTCCCTAATGTAGCAGGTGATATCTTGATAAGTCGTATAGGCTTCACAGAATATCCCAGTTCAACATTTATAGCAAACAAAAAATAAATCAATAAACTGTATTCATCAAAGAAATAAAGAACACATATAAAGCAGACATGGGTACACATATTTTATAAAAATAAACAAGTACAAACCAATAAAATGAAAGAAACAATCAGTGAAAACAATGCAAAACTAATCTATGCCTTGTGTTTCTGCTATATTCAACTTACTTGAACAATGACTGGTTCTTCAGAATGTGCTACTATGCCAATACAGTTTTTGTTCACGTCGACCATCCTCCAGAATAACAGCTTTAAAGTAGATAAAGGTAATTAGGTAAAACAAAAGTTAAAGATGTATACGTTAGAAAGTTATAAGGGATATCAGCTTTGACCGTATATGAGAAATGATATTCACAACCGGTCTACAGTTTATTCTATACTTAATAAGAAGAGGGCTTCTATTTTATTCATACAGAATCACTGCTGCACAGTGTTACATAATTCTCAGTATGCTACCGAGGTATTTACTAGACACTGATTTGATGGAGTATGGAAACAGAAACAATTCTATACAAAAGAATATGTAGCTGTGTCTCGTCTTTTGGTAGATAACTTTCCATCAATGGGTCACGGGTTCGAGCTCCACTCCAGCTACTGAGGTTTAAGTAAACATGTAGTATCATTAATCCTTACACAATAGGTGTGGCTTATTGCCTACTACACAAATGGGCTGAGTGCATTTAGGTTGTAACTCAAAGCAAGTACTAGCTGTCAAGTGATATCATAAGTTACAGTCGATAGTAGCTCTTTATTTGTGAATGCATATCATATGGAGAACGTTTTCTTGCGTCTACAAGAAAGCTACTTCTTTCAGTAAGATAAAGAATTTGATAGTGGTTAAAAAACAAAAAATATGCAGTTTTTTCAGGCATCAGCATTCGAATATAAATGTAATTCATGTGTAAGTCGTCTCTGTCACTGTCACAGTAAGTACAATAATATCAAAAGGGTTAATGGACTCAGTGTCGCTTGTCATTAAGGGTACTCACTACAAAAACGGAAAATTATGGCAAAAGTGTAATAGTAAAACAATAATTTTAATGAAGTTCTGTACTCTTGAGAAATTTATCAAAAGCAAAACTAGTTTGTACACAAGTCATTATAATAATACAACATACCCAGTACATTTTTATAAGCTAAAACAACCTATGAAGAAGTATGGGGAGGAGTTTCTTCAGTTCGTTCGTTCGTTCAGCTAGTAAAAAGAATAGTAATATATATATAGTAGATGGCATACGCCATCCTTATTAGGCTCTCTCTCTCCCTCTCTCTGAATTACATATGTATATACATATATATACTTTCTTTTCCATTTGAGAATCCAAACACCGACTTTAAAATGTCAGTATTATATTATATTTTATATCCACATAGAATAGGCAGCTTCTTTTGTCGACTGTCACGTATTAGTCCGCATACAAACACAGTCATTCGCTCCCATGCTGATCAACTATTTTTGTCTATTTATTTGCCTGACTAATTTTTACGACCTTCCATGTCACTGTCCTCTGAATGATTTAATTTAAATCAGAAACAAGTTTTTTGTAATCAGGAGGATACACAGACTCATTTGAAAATGGAATGTTAGCGGATTTTATAAACTGATAGGGGGGATAGAAAGAGAAGAAAACAATCTGATTTTATGGAGTTAAAACCTTTTTAACTGGATGATTGACTTTAAAGGCCACCGTAGCAACTGTTGAGATAACCAATTACGTTTCGTTATTTTCCACCCGGAATACCAAAACCTGAGTGATCATTTCAGCAGTTGCTGCTGTGGCTTTTAAACCCATTAAACTGGATTAATCACAAACTTGGAGTTGGGTCTCATTGTAAATACATCAATCAGAAATTCAAGGAAAGATTATAAAATCATTTTGTTATGGTGCTTGTCAACAGAGCATGACTAAGATTTCTACAAATCTTTATCAAATATGACAATGCAAACTCACTTATAGTGTGTCATCCAACCCTATAATTTGTTGCGTGGTAATATCAATAGGAGTTAATCTGCAAACATTCTCTTTATTTGCAAACACGCGTAGCTTCACTTTACGTCGACGGCTAAATTCACCAGTTTGTCATTTCCCATCACAGATATTTTATTGAAACCAAATGAAGTCTAGCGCGTCCCTGAAGGTCACCGTAGCAACTACTGAGATAACTAATTATATTTCTTTATTTTATGAAAAACTATCTTTCTAGGCAGAATACCGAGATCTGACTGGTCATTTCACAGTTGCTAGGGTAGCTTTTAAAGTCACTGGAAATCTCAAACCAAATCAACTGTTTCATTAAAAGACCTGCCCTAGTGAACAGTTTCTTTTCTATTGATTTAAACCAGTCAACAAAATTTTCAAAAAATAGACTCGTAAAGTGTTGACCGACTTTAAGAGTGATGATGAGTTTTCCGAATTCTAATGTTAAAATTCACTTTTCTATACAGGGCTATGCTCTTTCTGTTGTAATACTGTTTATCTTAGGGTTAAGTTACAGCGCTTATGATGAGAGCGAAATATAGTAAACAAAGGGCACATCTGATATATTCAAACCTCATAAACTTTCTAAGTTGTACCCGGAAATGTTCCCTGTACCCACGCAAAAATTTCCTTTTCTTTTTCTACTCAACAACATAGGTGATAGACATTTCAAATGACCTGGATTTCTCCAGTTGTCGATATTGATGTTGTTTCATATTAAAGCGGAAATTAGTAAAAGCAAAGTATGTGTAGAATATAAAACTAAACTGGCCTGAACACTATACGACTTTTAGCAAAGAAATCTAAATAATTCGTTCGAAATTTGTATCCTAAAGCAGTTCATTACATATATCTGTCACTGAATGATAATGTTATACATACCTCTCTAGTACTAAGTGAAGTCTGAAATCTGCTGGTGATGGTGTGAGTAGTTTGGTAGTGAAGACTCTGACTTCAACATAAAGTGATGTGCATTCAAATTCCTAAGGGAAAAAAAGATTCCTCATGGTTTCAGAAAATCCCTGTTGATGAATTTCAACGAGCATAATACATTTTCCCGATTCTTTCTGACTACTACTAACTCCCAACATTTAGCGCATAGTTCCACTTTTAGTCTCGAAACCTCCCCTTAGAACCATTCATCTCTAGATACCAAGGAAGCGACTAAACTTTATAAACCTTTTAGAACTGAAGATAAGTTCGCCCAGGTTAAACTAAAGCTTCAGCATATAATAGTGGTTTAACAAAGCTAGTGCACAACAAATACTACTGAGCTGGTATCACTGGTTTATGCTTTATGGTTTTCTATTCTCTGGTCCCATCTTTGTATATTTCAGATGATTGAGTTATTAACTTCATTACTGACCCATCAAATAACACCATGTAATGAACCAGAAAAAACATCATGAAATGATTCCTATTGCCAATAATGTTGATTTTTATGAAGTCATGTATAGAAATTCAGAATTACCAATATCATTTTCTTCTTTCTACTGAAAACTACCAAGTAGTATATGACAGGTACAAGATTATAGCCGTAAAGTGAGCGATCGCTACACTTATTTCTATGAAATCTCCTCCAAACAGAGTTTCTCCTGCATTTCACAGATTTATATTATTCTGTAAACGTGTAGAGATCTCCACCAATTCGAAAATCTATCAGTTCAGTCAGGGATTTTCGGAAATGATACCTTGTTTGTTTCAGACAAGTAAAATGATATGCATTCACTTCACACATGTTCAGGACTAATCAATAAGAACATGATGACTAATAACTCCTGATGCATTTCCCATGATAATTGTGTTACGGTTGGTAAAATTTAGGATAAGTATCACGGAAAAATCACTAACTTTCTAACTGTAGTATGAGACTGTAGAGACTAGCTGAGATAGAAAAGGTCACAGAATAATATTTTTCGCCGGCCTTAGTCTGCAAAGCACACACAACTTCTGGCTCAAATATGTTACTACTAAGGTTTCAGAGGTGAACTTGTGGCGACCACTCAACACAAAGGTTTGTTTTTAGAGATGTTCATAAAGTAAAAGGTGTTGATGACCGGGACAGATTCGCTTACTGACTGATATGGACAGATATGACAACCAGTCATTTATATCATAACGATTTCTGGTGTGTAAAATAGCATCAGGTAACTGGGAATTTTGTTGTTGGAATATTTACAAAAGTCTGTGCATCTCCTAAATGACGTCTCTACTTCAAAAGTTCAATAAAACAAAGCCTCGGAATACTGCTACAGAAGTTTATTCATTGGCATTGTATGAATAGTCTGTCCATACTATTCGATAATAAACAGAATTTTGGCAAGTGTAATCGCCTTACTAAAACAATTTACAGTAATTTTTGACCGTGTGTTTTAACTCTAAGCAATAAAACACAGCAACGAAAAACACTAAACATTTTACAAACGCCTATTTTATATTTTGCTGAAGAATTTGTATATTTGAAACAATAAACATAATTGAATACACCCAATGATGTAATCATTGTTCATTGTATTTTGATACCTAGTGCGATTAGTCTGACAATTATCACATGAAATTGTTAAATGTCCGGGTAAGTTTGATCTCCAATATGCACGAAATAGCGGTGTAATAACAGTTGATCAGCTTAAATTCTATTTCAATACATTGAATATTCCCATTTAGACATTAATAAAAAGACTGATTGAGGGAAGAAATATATTCCTTCTCATTAGGTCTTCATCTTCGGGCTCTACACTATTTATAGTTTTACAATTTAATCATATTACTACTCAAGTGGTGATGTTTCGGAGATAATGATGATTTTCAAATGGACAACTGTCATAATTTTGTAACCATGTTCACTCTGTGTTGTAAAACTGTGATTTGAAGATATATGCAAGGTATGACTGGAAGGGAGTTTAGTATATGATTAGTTAGTCATGACTATGCATGGATCTTATGCTATATCGGAAGATGCAGCCCACCAAGAAAGAGTATTTCTTCTCAAATTAAAATCTGTAACTGTGCATCTGGGCACATCAGAAAGTTTGTGTACCATCAACTACTCTAGAAATTTAAAAAAAGTTTCGAAACATACAAATACGCACAAACTAGTATTAGGACTACACAGATATCGTTTCGCAAACAGACAAACTTTTAGCATAAGTAAACATATTCTAGCGGAATATAATAAATAATCGTCAGATGACTAAACTGTTCTTTATTAAACACGGAAGTAGGAAAATAAAGCTATCTGCACAGCTAAAGATAACC